TGTTACAATGCGGATTGATTTTTGTTGGACACAGCAGACGCACCAATCCAAATTAAATTTGGCAACAACTAACAGCGTCTAGCTTCTACGGAAATGGATTTTTATCTCAGTTCAACTCTGGAATGTGGCAACACCCAGTGAACGCTGAATTTATAAAAGGCTCAAAATAATCGAAATTCCATTTTATTTGAGTAACTTTTGCTCAATTTGCAAAAATGTAACATCAACATTGAAAAACCACAAGCTTGCAACTCTATTTAAAATTTGAAACGAAAAACCATCCCCATCCTCAAACTACACCGAGTAATTATGCTGTTTGAAACAAGCCAATTCAGTCATACTTATTAATAAGTTTCTAAACTTTCTAAAGAAATGTTTCCCTGAATTTGTATTAAATTCCCTGAGATTCCTTGATTTTCCAGGTTTCTTCTGGTAGTCGACCCCCTGGTTTCAGACTGTTGCAATGCACACTTAGAAATTATTATTTTTACACGAGACGTAATTCAGCTTTGACGTAAATCATGGATCGTACACAAACATGGCATGTAAAATTAAATGTCCTGAAACTAAAACATATGCAACTCGACGAGAAGTGCGTTTGATTGCATTGATTTTCTCGTCCTTTTCAACTGATTCTTATGTCAAAAGGGCCGCTTGCATGTGTCGGTCTCAGGGCACTGAAATTTAAACGTCTTTTTCGTAGTGTGTGGATTTCAAATTGTTAAACAAAACAAATCAATTCGTGACTCTCATATAACCCGCCAGCCTGTCGAGCTTTCCGTTCACAACATGGGTCGTACCGATCGCTAAGATCCGAGAGACGCCAGAGATCAGAATCGGGCTGATCATCCCAGTAAACTACAAAAGCGAACGGAACGACATGAAAATCCCCGAAGACGTTAAAACCTGAAAACTTTTCCTAATACGCTATCATAAAGAAAACCATGTAGGGAAATTTACGTATTCTCGTCAATCTAAGCAGCGTCCGAACTTCTATTAGCGATTTCTCAGCGTCACAAACATACATGACAGGTTTGTTTGTTGACATTTATCTGCTGCTTGCTGTTCTACCAATTCCAATCGACAGAATTGATCAAAACGGGTTGAACATGTTTTTACAACGCTCCAAACTTCTCAGGTGAGTGTGACTATTGTCGGCAGTCTCTTTTTCTTCGGCACCCTTTCCATTTGAACTGCGTGTTAACCAGCTGTTCTATTATCGGCAACTCGAAATCAGCCGTATTTTGTAGTGTGTATATTTCATTTAAAGGAAAATATGGCAGAACAGGATTGCACAGTCGTAAAAATGTAATCAGATTGAAGCTGAAAAGGTAAGGAATCGGCTTAATACATTCAGCGAAGAGTTTTGATGGGAATAAACAGTGAAATTAACGTTTCAATTTCGGTTGCCGAAAACAGTCAATGGGTGCCGAAGCCATAATTTACCCTAATTGGGAGTTCAACTATATTTATTTAGGCGAGCATCACAATTGTCGCCCTTTACTAAAGCTCATCTCAACACCAAAGCTCAACTCGAATGAAACAAGCTTTTCCGCTCGATACATTCGTTTGTGTATTGTTTGCTCTCTATATTTCTGCTTGGCTAGGCCTTCACAATGAAGTAATAAAATTGGGTTGTTAATTAAGTGGAATTAAATGGAAGATAACCGTTTTTGCTGTTATATTTAAGCATGGCGCTAACAACCCAATTTCATTACTTCATTACGTCTCTGTCTGACCCAGACCGAATGTATCATGAGATAAATGAAACTAGTTTTATTAAGCGCTTCGGAGGCTCCCAGAGAACTGATCGAAATCAGAACTAGAAGCATTGCGGTAGATCAAATTTCAATCATTTGCAATTATATTTAAAGTATACACACTTAGTTTTTCGCCGAATCTAAAATAACTATGCAGTACAACCGCACACATCTGGAATTGTTTTGGCGTCCTTGAGGCAAACGGCCAACACCAATTTTAAGGCAGAACCTTTCTGCATATTCTGAATCAACTACTCAGAAATTCCTTAAATGGATCCGCGAACCATATTTCGTTTTTCAGAATGCTTCTTAAAATTATAGATGAACCAAAACATAATGTTTATTTTATAACTCGATGGTTCCTTGCATACCGAGGTATAGACTGCAATTCACATTAATAGTCAATCTCAGCATTATTTATTGATTTATAGTATGTAGTATGGACTGTGAAAGGAAGGGTCCATGCAATAGTTCAACTTTAAATAGATTTCCGGCAAGCCATCAACATTCCAAATACTTACACAAATTAGAAACATTGAGTTGAACTAAACAGCGTTGGTTATCTGTAGATTAAAGACCATCGTATAGTGGTGGCAAAATCAAGATCCCACTGTAATAACTTGAACTCCACTATGGTATAGAAGGACATCGATCTGTCAAATTGATTATACCAGCTGTAAAATGAGAAAAGGGATGAAGGGGCTTTTAAATTCTTTTAAATAATTCTACCGTGGTTTATAATTCTATGTGCTCCTAGCACTCCGGAACTTATGTCTTACTATTTCCTTAACAATGTATGTGCTTATATAGCTAATTTTAACAAATTAATCACCTTGATTTACACAGCAAAACTGTGGTAAACTTAGAACAAACATGTATGTAACATTTCCTTCTTTGGACATGTTTTGGAACCAATTGCATAAAACTTTGATTTCGTTAGGTTTCGTAGGAGGAAAAACACGACCGCTTTAATTTGGTATTAAGTGTTTACATTTTGAAGTCCAAAGAGAAGCAACAAAATTTGGAACTAGAGTAAGAAGTACCATTTGAAAAATCTGCAGTGTTTTGAGTTGAATGTGCATCGTTCCATTCGCAAGAACTTTGCAAGCAGAACGATAAATGAAATCGAGCGCTGCAATATCCAAGATTTCAACACTCCCTATGTTCGTCAATTGCCGTCAATTGAAAATTTCTTCAAAAATCCCAACACAACGAACTGCTCCAATTACTTTGTAACACAAAACGTGGTAAGGTTGATCCTTATTGATCGAAAAGGCAAAGGAGAATCTACACAAAATGATGAAAAACTTGTTTTCAACCACTATGGTTAAGGGTGGGACTCCCAGCTAGCTGTAATAAAGTTAAGCACTATGTACTAGCGAAAATTATCGTTAATATGCATTAACTGGATATTTCGTGATGTAATCATAAGTTGACACACTAAAAGCACAGTTAACATTATTTCAACGTACCACAGACATAATAATAATTTTACACCAATTCAACGTAATCAGCAAATCTTCGAATTGTTTGCATTAAATTACATTCAATTAACACAAATTCACTGTAAATATGCAATATCACTGAATAACAACGCTCTTGATTGGCTTCTGACCGACTTGAAAATACTAGTTAAAAAATCCTTTGAAAAGCATTCTGTCGAGCCGAAGAAAGAATGCCCACACGTCAAACTCCGTCAAGCATTTAAACGGAGGAACAAAAGAGACGACAAATTATCTCACCTGTTTACATCTCATTACGCATTACCGTGACTATTGACAATTCGCCTCTTCGGTCACTCTGGTCACTCTGTAATGCTTCACTCCTATGGTAAAATCTCTTAAGCAAACATCAGTCTGTGCGTGAAACTTGGTGAACATTTCCTTACCCTTTCACTCATATGAAAATCCCATATGATTCTGTCAATCTTTGCGTGAAGGAACGGCGGCTTGCTGGAGGAATGAAGAGATAAGACAAAGTCCGCTAGATTTCATGCACAGATTGTCAGATGCTTATGGGATTTTACCAGGAGTAAAGAGTTGCAGAATCGCCGTCAACGTCAATGCTTACTTTCGTAATGGCCAATGCTGCAAACGTAAGCAATTACTTTTTGCGTGAATTTCTCGAAAATGAAAACACACTGAAGAAAACCAACACCATGAGAAAGAGACCTGCTGTCCGATAAAATTAGTGGCTTACATGGATTGACATTGACCTACGAGACTTTAACGAAAGAAGCCATTATTTATGTTTTCGACATTGGTCCTTATGAACGCTCAGTGCCGGTATCACGAAAATTTTATTTTGACAGATCGATTTCCAACTATGCCAGTTATAACACTGAGCCAAATCAAAAAAGGGGTCAGTTTTGAGACAGCTTTTTGCATGAAGTTCCACATGTGTTATATGATGAAATGAAACTGTCAGACCTTTCGAAAATCTAAGAACACTTACAACGAAGATCAACCATCATTCTCGATCACAATTGCTTCTGCTTCGGTCATGCATCAAGCGTCTCCATGGTATATAAATGTGAAATTAAGCATAATTTCAGTGAAATTATCTCTGATGTGTCCTTGAAAATAATCTATTCAATAATTTTCGTCCATTCATAATCACTTTTCGAATTTTAGCTTCACAGAAATGAATGTTTCTACCCATACACCAGTCAGGTTTATCCATCAATGAGAAAACTCTTCATTCTCTAAATCCAATTTGATATTGATCAGCGTTATCAAACAACTGGCATCTTGCAGGAAAATACGATTATAATACCGTCCGATAATTACCAACAAATGGCACAATATATTCACATCCGATTAAGTCTCATCTCCACACACACACGCGAGCACACGTCACTAATGCAATCTGTTCGCCAGCTTCGTGTAAACATTCAAATCTTCCCACTTGCATTAATGCAAATGTAAGTTTGCCACGCGCCAGCTTTTGCCATCGCTACAATTAACACAAAACCCACAATACCCGCATTGCACCGATCGCACTAAAAATGCAAATTTACGCTCCCAGTGCCCCTGTCATCCTCGAAAATTTCAGCAAATTGCAAAACATTCTTCACTTCCACCCACCCTTGTTTCACCGTTCTATAGCATGTGCAAATCTCTAGGTCCCACAGCCCCGAAACTACAATGGTCACGCCCGGAACACCTCCCTGGCGATGCGAGGATTATCGGAACACTTGAACGATCCCATTGAAGTAAAATACAGTAAGAAACTACGTACCGCTTCCCGAAAGCCAACACTCCTCGGCGTGTAACTTGTAGGAGCGTGAAAAACGCACTGAAATCGGTGGGCTGTTTTTAACAATATTTTATTGGTGCCCGATTCCGAATGCGCTATTCGACGACACTCGATCCCGGTCTCTGAGCTGTTTCTGTTGTTGAGTTGTTCAGCACTCAATCAAATTGAGAACTTATTGTAGTGTTGTGCTGTGTTGCGGTAGGCTGTCTGACAAATTTTGCACACTACCAAACCCAGATACGGGGGTTTGTTCGGTGCCGGTTTGTTTTGGGCCGATGATAATGAATGCGGGTTTGGGTGGTACTGTTTGGTGTTTCGCCGGTTTCTCTGCAGCCGTTGGGTTTGAATTGATTAGCACCACGTTGTTGCGATCGTCACCATTTCACATGGACACTATTCTTCGGTGGTTGCTTTTCTTCGTTTGTTGTACGATTCTTTGTTATCAAGCTGTTAATTTATTCTGTATATTTATTATGAATTTATATGCACACCGATTTACTTTTCACTATCACTGCTTGGAATGTATTGGTAAGATCGCCGTGGTTCAGTTTGTGCTACTAGTTAGCACATTATCAGTATATGATTCCAGTGCTGCCAAATTTGAGGGTTTTTGCAATCGGAAAGTTTAAGGTGAATCCTTGTAGAGTCAAAAAATGGCTGAGCCGCATTATCGCTTCACGTTTTGTAGAGAAAAAATGTCAAAAGAGACTAAAAGAACATTTTTTTGGATCCTATACGAAACCCACATATCTGTGAATGGCCGAAACCTATGGTTCTATCAAAACCGTTTCTTTTCCTTTTCCCCTTCTTACAAAGTACCATGGTCCAAACGATTTTGAATATTTTAGAAATCGTTCAACTGGTTCCGTATACATATATGGCTCGAACGTGTTCCGGTGAATACGGTTCTCAGGACTAGATGTGATCTGAATCGTCATGCGACCTCTCAAATCACATGAAAATTCGAATTCAAGATTAATGGTAGTCATGTTAAGTGTCAAAGAACACATTACCAGGAAGTGGCCAGTTTCTGACTACATCAAAAATCCAATTTGACAGTTTTTCCAATGTTGACTTAAAAACACGCAAAAAATGATAAATACAGGTCATAGAGCAATAACTGATCGTGCTGCTATGTCAAAATGTGCATGAAGCATTAAAGTTTTGAAAAAATCGGCGAACTTTGGCAAATTTTAGACTGCATACTCAAAAATTATTCTGTCAACAATTTCTTTAAATAAATTTGTGGGTTTCCTACAGCACAAAGCACAACTACAGAAAAGTTCTACAACTTATAATAAAATTTTGCAAACTTCAGGAATATTGAGCTCACTTTTGGAATAATTCTGCGAATTTTGAATGAAATTCTAAGCCCTTCAGGAAAACTCTGAGAAATTAAGATAAATTCATAGATCTACATGAAACTTCAATGAACTTCAAAAAACTTCAGGAATGCTCACCAGCTCAGGGAAATTCAGGAATATTGCAAAAACTTCTGAAAATTTTAATAAACAGAAAATTTTGAGAAATTCAGAACTCGAATAAAATACTGCGAGTTTCAGGAAAATTTTGAAAGTTTCAGGAAATATCTGGTTAGTCTGTGAACTATTTAATAATTCAAATGAATTAACCCTTTGCCTGTGTTTAGGTTCATTATGACACCAGGCAATTTTTGATTATTCATCAAAATATTTTTCTCTCTGACATATTTGCATGCTAAAGTATTCTTGATATGCTTGCTTCTTGGTTGAGACATATTTAGAATTTTATGTAATACCCGTTTGGAAGGATTCTCGCAATGAACTTAAAATAATTCTAGGCGTACAAACAAAGGGTTAAAGAAAGTCTGCGAGTTTCATGAAAATTTGCGAAGCTATGCGAAGTCCGCGAATTTCTGCGAAATTCTGTGAACCTCAAAAGTATTCTGCTGATTTTAGTGAAGTGAACTTCTGGAATGTTTTGAAAAGATCAGAAAAATTTCAAGACTCCAGGAAAGTTTTGCACATTTTTGAAAAGATCTTCAAACTTCACAAAAATCTGCATATTTCAGGAAAAATCTGGAAACTTCAGAAAAGTCTGTGAATTTCGAGTAAGTCTACGAACTTTAGGAATAAATATTTCACTAAGTTCAAGAAAGTCTGTGAATTTCATAAAAATTCTGCCAAGTTCAGTAAATATGACATACTTAATGAAAACCTGAGGGCTTGGAAAACACCCGAGGACTTCAGGGAGTCCTATCGCAACAAACATTGAATGTTGAATAAGCGCTTATTCAGGCAAAAACAAGCTTCTTCAGTTAAAAAATTGCTTTTTCAGCTGTTGATCAACTCAAATTATTTGTTGGGATGCCCGTATGTTGGTTTTTTTTTTAATAAATTCTGATCATTGTAGTATGATGAGTGTTTTCCGTCGATCTTGTTTTCCGTGCTAAGCAACAATGCTACCGACGCCAGGAAGGCAGATCCCACACCTACCTATCGACCCATCAACTCATGAACCGGGGACCAACGGCTTTATGTACGGCGTGATCAGATATGTTATGCCTTAGAACATCCCAGGGTTCAAGAGACATCTATGATAATCTGTAAGTTTGTGAAATAAGGTTTGATCATTCTTACATCATGAGTGAATATATGAGAGATGCTATTTGGATTCCTGGACAGTTGAAGATCTTCGGAATAAAGCATGAACTTGACAAAGTATCCTAAAATAAACTTCGAGAAAATTCTTCCCAAAAATCTAGAAAAGTTCTATCCCCAACTTGAGGTAAGTTTTTCCAGAACTGAAGAGAAGTTCTTCGCAGAATTTTAGAAAAGTTTTTCACAGAACTCACGGAAAATCTTTCTAAGAACTTCAGGGATGTTCTTCCCAAAACTTCAGGAAAGCTTTTCCCAAATCTTCAAAGAAGGTTTTCCTAGAACTTCAGAAAAGTCCTTTTCAAAGCTAATTAACAGTTCTTCCCAGAAGTATAGGGAAATGTTATCTATAACTTCAAAGATGTTCTTCCCAAAACTTGAGAGGAGTTTTATCCAGAACTCGAGAGAATTCCTACCCAGAACTTCAAAAAAGTTCTTCTCATAACTTAAAAAAAAATCCAGAGCTCCTGGGAAGTGCTTCCCTGAACATCACACAGATAAAAATTCTGAATTTTACTTGTGATGTAAACATTCATTCACGTAAACTTGCATTTCATTTCATGCAACCGAGCAACTTGTAAACAATGTTTTTTACAAAGATGGGCTTTTGTATACAATATTTACTACATTGCATGAAATGTCTCAGAACTTTAAATGATTTATAATGTAAACTTATATGATATGTGACGCTCCATTTATGTGCATCATATTGAACAGAAATTAACACTACTTTTTCGAACTGTGCAGTAAAGTTCGTCCAAAAACTTCAGGTAAGTTTTTCCATGAACCTTAGGGATGTTCTTTCCAAGAACTTTGGTGAAGTTTATTTTCCAGAACAAAAAAAAATCCCATATATTCAGGGATGTTCTTCACAAAACTTTAGAGAAGTTCTACTCAGACCTATAGGGAAGTTCTATTTAGAACTTCAGTAAAGTTTTTCTCAGAACTTCAGAAAAGTTATTCTAAGAACTCCAGTAATATCTTCCTACAACTCAAGGAACTAGTTCCCACAATTCCAGGGAGGTTCTTCTCAGAGCTTGAGTAAAATCTTCCCATAACTTGACGAAATTATTGCTCAAAACTTCACGAAAACTTTTCCCAGAACTTAAGTACTTTAGGAAAGTTCTTCCCAGAACCTCAGAAAAACCCTTCCTAGAAGTTCAAGGAACTAGTTCCCACAATTTCAGCGAGGTTTTTCAAAGAACTTGAGAAGAAGTTCTTCCCAAAACTTTAAAGAAAATCTTCAGAGAACTTTGAGGAAGTTCTTCGTAGAATGATAGGAACTTGAGGGAAGTTCTTCTCAAAACTTGAAGGAAGCACTTCTCAGACCTTCAGAAACCCAAGCCGCACAAAGATGTCTGCCGCACCCGTTTTGAACACAGTGTTTTGCTAGAAAAACTTCTTCGCAGAAGTCCATAAAAGTTCCTCACAAAACATCAGAAAAATTCTTCCAAGAACTTCAAGGATGTTCTTCCCAGAACTTGAGGGAAGCCCATCCAAGAACATTAGGGGACTTCACCCCAGAACTTGATGGAAGTTCGTCTCAGAACTCCAGAGAACTTCTTCCCATAATTTCAGGGATGAAGTTTTCTTCATTGAAGCAACAAGGACTTAAAAAGTGTTACCAGAATTTCAACAGAGTTCCCACAAATTCTGACAACTTCGATGGAGTTCCCAGAACCTCAACGGGCCCGTCAAAACTTCTTCGCTAAATACAGAGCTTTTCAAAACTCGAATAAATTCCTCAAAATTTACAAAACTTCAGCAATGTTTTAACTTTTTGAAAATTCTACTAACTCTCTGTGACAAGTAAGTGAACTTCGTGGAATTCTTTAAACTTTAAGGAAGTCACCGAACTTTTTTTATTTTAGATTCAGGAAAGTCTACGAATATCAGCAAAGTTTAGGATTACTGCATTGATTCTTCTGAAAAATGTCCGTATGTGGCAATATCAAAGAATGCGTGACCCTGCCATGAAAGTTATCTGGCGAGATTTACAAAAACAATTTAAAAATCGATTATCTGCCCTGAGGAACAAAATTTAAAAAAATTATGTGTCGAAATCAGTCCCGACGTAAAAACCCTTTTGGAAACTCAAAAGGCTATTCCAGCGCTTAAGGGGAAGCTCACTGCTCCGAAAAAATAATTACATTTTGATTTTTCTAAAAATATTGGAAAAAGATATCAAAATTCTAAGAAAATCACATATTTTTTAATTTTTCAAGTCATTATGGCATAAAGTTGGACTCAAAAAACCACAAAACATCGACTTTTCGGTTTTGCTGAGAGTCCAATTTTTTTTTTTCATGATGAGATAGAAAAAAATTTGTACGTGTAATTTTTGACAAAAATCTAAGGAACAAACTGATTTGCTTTGATTTTTGATATTTTTTCCCAATATTTTTAAAGAAATAAAAATGTACCGAAAATATTTTTTTATTTTCGGGCCGGTAAGCTTCCCTTTAAGGGGATGTTTTGTGGTTTTTTGAGTCCAACTTTATGCCATAATGACTTATAAAAAATGTTTTTGCACGTGAATTTTCTTTGAAAAATTAAAATATATGTGATTTTCTTAGAATTTTGATATCTTTTTCCAATATTTTTAGAAAAATCAAAATGTAATTATTTTTTTCGGAGCAGTGAGCTTCCCCTTAAAGAAGGTGGTAAAGCTGTGTTTATAAATGCGGAAAAATATCATAAACTTGATAAGCAGTTTGGGAGTGCCTATAATTTCGGTTTGAGTCTTGCTAGTCCTGTTTAAAATCAGGTTGCTCGGGAGTATCTGATAATTTCTGATGATTCCTGGCATTTGATTTCGACGAAGTAAGAACTATAAGTGAATTTTTTTTAATATGAAAGTTCTAGGCAATCATGG